AACTTCAGTGTGTGATGAGGCAATGGTTACTGAAGTTGTATTGAGTTCTTCTGTAGAAAAGGCGCTCGCCGTATACTTGGTTTTCACGGTTGCAAAGTTTGCTAAAGCCTGCTCTGTACGTTGAGTCTGGCCAACATATACTTGGTTCTCCGCGGATTTTTTTTTTTTTTTTTTAATAAAAAAATAAAAAAAGATATATTTTTTTTTGATGTTTTGTTGAAGACTCTTCATTACGTCCAGAACAATAAAATACCTCCTAAACGAGTTATAGTATATTCTCGCGTACAGAAATTTCAAGATGACTTCATTGCTGATGCTGGCCTTTTGATGTGCTGATTTTGTTGCTGCTCTGTGAATTGGAAAGCCAAAGCATCTATTACAGCTCATATTAATACAAATGAGCATAAAAATTTTAAACAAAAGATGCTTTCTTCTTCGAATAAAACTAGACAACCTACTTTAGATTCTGTGATTAAAGCAAATGAGTCTAAGAAGGTTGCTATTAATGATTTAATTTGTGCGTTCATTCAAGCTAACATTCCCCTAGAAAAGGTAAACAAGCTTAGACCATGGTTAAGAATGTATTTACATGAAGGTAGTAATATTCCTTCTGCTGATGCCTTGCATCATGATTATCTTCCTAGAGTTTTTGAAAATTACTTAATTATAATTAAGCAGATGTTTAATGGCAAAAAGGTTTCGTTAATTGTTGATGAAACTACTGATAGTAGAGTGCTAAGCGTTGTTAATATTTTGTTTAACTATCATGACTTAACCAAGTTAGTGGTTGTAGATTACCTAGATATAGTTAACAATTCAACGATCAGGCAGTTAATTGTTCGTACCTTGCTTAATTGGAATATCTCATTTCATGATATACGGTTGATTGCATCAGATTCTGCAGCATACATGAAGAAATGTATTCGTGAAGTGCTTAGGCCAATTATGCCTCAAATAATGCATCAGATTTGTTTAGCGCATATTTTAAATTTAATTAGGTTAGTATAGTATTAACATTATTTATTTGTAAAAAAAAAAAAAAATATGTAAAATTTTTATTATTTAATAAATTAAAAATAAATTACAAAGTTTTATTTTAAAATTTATTTAGTGAAGCGTGGGTGTCTATTGAACCTTTCGATGTAGTTCATAAATTGTTAGCCAAAATTAAGAAAACTTTAATTTATACAAAAAGTCGACATACAAGATACATTGAGTTTTTGCAACAAAATGGAGTTTCCCGCCCAAATAATATTCTATTACCTAATGCAACATGTTGGAACTCTTGGTTTAAATAGCCTTTTATGTAGAAGAACACTTATAATTTATCTGAGATTTTTATGCTCAAGAATATAGAGAAAATACCTCTTCTGCAATAGAAAAAATTGTAGTAATTCTTAATGATCAACAAGAATATAGACGTGTATGGATAAATTTGGCATTTATTAAAAATTATGGACAACAATTCGTATGAGATCTGGATTTTTTTCAAACTGAAAATGTTCCAGTATTTCTGTTTATTGAGGGTTGAATTGAGCAATTGGAAAGTGCGATTAATATAGGAAAATCATTAACAACTTTAGTTCAACCTGTACTTGAGATATTTTCTAAACTTAATATGGAACCTGATTTATTCTTCCTTTATTTCATTCTGCATATCAAGCTGCCTATAATAAATTTTCTGAACATATTAGTAATCATCCTACATGTCTTTTATTTAAAGAAGCTCATATTTTTGACTCTTGATTTATTTTGCTTTCCACTATTAGTCATAATATTGCATCATATTCTTATATCCAAGAATTAGCAAATCCTTAGTTGATTTAGTTCAAGAATGGGCAGTTTATTATAATTTCAATCTTGCTATGATTGAATTTCATATTTTGGATGAGTTTTGGAATAAGGTTTCTTATTAATTACCTTTGTTAAGTGAAATTGCCTTCGATTATATTTGGCTTCCTATTTCATCTTGTAGTGTAGAGCAAAGTTTTTCTGTATATAACAAAATTTTGGATGATGATAGACAAAATCTTAGCAAAGAATCGCTCTGTGCTCTTACTACTATGTTTTACAATCGATTATTGTCATGTTGTAACTAATAAAAAATAAAAAAAAAAAATTTTTTTGAGGTTCTGATCACATTACACCCAATTCTGCATTCTGATTAGATAGTTAGAGAAAATCGATATAAATTGATATTTTTGACCAAATCTATAGATATTTTTGCTAAAACAAATCGATATTTTCTCTGGTCCCTGCTATAAACCTAATAAGATCACAAGTATTCAAAAGGTTTAATACAAATATTTAAAAGGTTTAAGTTATGTAAACAAGAGGTTAAATAAACAATAAATTATAACTTAAAATTTAAGAAATATATTAATATAGCAGTAATTTTTGTAATAGTATGAGTAATTTATTCAATAAAATTATGACTTTATTATTTAATGAAGTAAATATGATTTAATTCTCTCAAGGACTATTTTAGCTTTTATTTATAATATATTTTTCTTAGTAATACATATTATATTTATTAAATATATTCTCTACATTCTATATATTATATATATATTGTATTCATTATATATAACTTATATTATAATATATAAAGAAACATAACTATTTAATCATATTACTTATCATAATTTTCTTTCTGAGAAAGTCTCTAGTAGACTGTCTATAAATATATATAAATTCATATAATTTATATGTATCAGCTAATCACATGATTATATATATTATAGCTACATTTTTAGTAAAATATTTTTGAACTTTGAGAAATATATTTCAATAATTACTTGACTAAATTTAAAGAATTTTTTTTGTTTTAGTTCTATAGATATATGGAATTTAAATAAAAAAATTCATTGATTATAATCAGGTAGTTGTTGAAATATTTTTACTTAAAGTTAGTAAACAAATTCAAAATGTTAATTAAAATAAATATATTAAATTTTTTTTTTTTTTTTTTTAAGCAAAGCTAAGGTGAGGCTATATTTCTATCTTTATTAATAATTTAATTAAAAATTTATAGTTGAAATTTTTAAATACTATATATTACAAGGTATAATCTTAAACTATATAGGATCTTTGCTAAGAAAATCACTTTTCAGAATTTTCTAAACAGGCTAATTTGGAAAGACTTAGACTAGAATACCAGTTCTTATTTATATACAAATCATCTTTTATTTTGCTAATATAATAGTTTGTTAAATAAACTATTGTATTTATAAAGGTAAAAGATAACTTACATATAAATAAGAACTAGTATTCTGGTATAAGTTTTTCTGAATTAACCTGTTTGGAAAATTCTGAAGTGTAATTTTTCTAGCAAAGATCCCATATAACAAGATTTGAAACTCAAACTAATTTATCTGCACCCTAAACTTACATATTAAATTTTTTTAAAACTTTGAGTGAAGATATCCTAATTACTACTTCATCAAATTTAATAAATTTTTTTTGTTTTAATTCTACAAATATATAGAATTCAAATAAAAAAAATTTATTAATTTTTGTTAAGCAGTTATTGAAATATTCTTGTTCAAAATTTTATAAAAAATTTTGTACAAATTAATATTTTGAATTTGTTTACTAACTTTGAACAAAAATATCTTAACAACTACCTAACCAAAATTAATAAATTTTTTGATTTGAATTCTATATATTTGTAGAATTAAAGCAAAAAAAAATTTATCAAATTGGTAAAGTAGTTATTGAGATATCTTTACTTAAAGTTTTAGAAAAAATTTAGTATACTTATTTTAATTAATATTTTAAATTTGTTTACTAACTTTAAGTAAAGATATCTCAACAACTACTTGATCAAAATTGATGAATTTTTTTTTATTTAAATCTCATATATTTATAGAATTAAAACAAAAAAAAATTTTTGAATTTGCTCAAGTAGTTATTAAGATATATTTGCTTAAAGTTTAAAATTATTTTACTAAAAATGTAATTATAATATATGTGATCACATAATTAGCTAATATATATAAATTATATGAATTTATATATATCTATAGTTACAAGATCTACAGACATATACTAGTTATATAATTTTTTATATGACAATTCTTTACAGTTTGTAATTATATGAAGAGTATACAACTTGCTACATATTAGTTATTATCTAATTTAAGTAATCTACTATACAGATAGATTATCTGTTTGGTTTTACACAGGCTACTATATCTGTAACCTACTTGTAAATTACTTATTTAAATATACTGTTCAACTAACTTATACTGAAATCAACTAATATTACTATAATATCTAACTACTTAAGCTAGCTAGCTTATTACAGATCTATTTATCTAACTTAGCTTAAATCCTCTTAGAATATGTATTGTTCAATATATTGTAAACACACAGAGCTTTAGTTAACTTTGTAAGCATATCTATTAAAGTAGTTCATACCTATTTCATGAATTTATCTAGTTTAGACTCTTGTAATATTCATACATTCCTAGTTTCTACTATAGCTCTCTACTAATATTGTTTGCTGATCTCTTTAGATGTTTTACAAAGTAGATTCTTCTAAATTCAATTAGCTATTAAGCTAAGTTAGTAATCCTTATTATAGAACAGACTTACTCATATCTAACTCAATCTATATCTTTTTGAGTAATAGTTTCTATTCAGATCAAATGTTAGCTAATATGACTATTAAAAGCTATACTACCTCTTCAATTTAAAGTTTCTACTATATAGGTCTTCTGCTCATAGATCTTATTAAGATTTATTTATGTATTTTTTTTATTTTAATTTTATTAATCTATATATTTTAAATAAAAAAATTTATTATTTTTGAATAGATAATTATTGAGATATCTTTATTCAAAGTTTAGAAAAATTTAAACATCTATTAAAACAGAAGTTTATTTAAACTTTGAATAATAGTATCTTGATAACAACTAATCAAAATTAATTAAAATTTTTTTATTTAAAATATATGGATTAGTAGAATCAAAATAAAAAAATTCTATAATTTTGCATAAGAAGTTATTAAGATATATTTGTTTAAAGTTTGAAAAAATTTTAAGCAACTATCAAAACAGATATATAGTGAAGTTTTTTTTAAGCTTTAAATAAAAATATCTCAATAATTACTTATACAAAATTGATAAAATTTTTTAATTTTAATTTCACCAATCTATATATTTTAAATAAAAAAAAAATTATCAATTTTAAATAGGTGTATAGAGATATTTTTATTCAAAGTTTAAAAAAAACTTTATAGTAATTTCTATTTTAATAGTTATTCAAACTTTAAATAAATATATTTTGATAACTACTTAGCAAAATTAATAGGATTTTTTTATTTAAATTCTACTAATTCATACTTTTAAATAAAAAAATTCTTTGATTTTAAATAGTTGTTATTAAAATACCTTCATTCAAAGTTTAAATAAACTTCTATTTTGTTTTCAAAAAAATTCTAGGCTTTACAAAAGCCAGAGATGCATAGCTTGCTTCTGAAAAGATGAAACTTTCTACTATTTGGCAAAATATAAAATCTATCAAGGAATTTGAGAAAAAGTTAAAATAGAAGTTTTATAGCTAACTAGCCTAGAAGCTTCAACAAAATTAGATATAATAATAAATAAGAATTCACTAAAGGAAGCAATTTATAGTGCAGAACCTGAAGAAAAAATGCAAAACAGAAGGATGCATCTAAGAGGACTTACAAGTATCAAGTAGCTTATAAGCCTAAGCAAAATAACATAGTCAAAAAAGAAATCAAGCAGAATCTTAGTTAGCTTTGTTAAATACTTCTAGAAGTATTTTCAAATGTCTGTAGAAGTTTTGGTATGAAGTTATAACTAATTAGAAAAGGAAAACAATATTATGACTAAAAATAAAAAAAGAAAATAAAACAAAAATAAAGATAAAGTTAAAGAAAATGCTTAACCTAGTGATGCAAAAAAAGAAAAGACAAGTTTTTTTTTTTTTTTTTTTTTTTTTTATAACCCGAGCTTTATGGAGCTAGGGGCGCATTTGGCCGTCTTTCTTCACAAT